ATTTAGTTGCAAAACTTGGAGATATAATTGCGAGTGCAGAAACTGTCACAATTGAGAGACACTACCGACAAAGAATCCGAAGCAGCAGGATGCAAAAATAAATTTGTTCAAGGTAACGTAACGACGTGTTAATACATTTTAAACTTATACGTCTTGTAAAATATATTCGAGTAACAAAAGCTCTTTGTCCTTCTTAAACTTAAATTTCTCAAAATCCTTTCTTTATTGCCAAATAATTTTATTGTTATTTTAATTACTATAACATGTGTTAAATTTATAACCGAATAATATTTATATCAAATAATATTTCATTGCTATTTTAGTTAACACATAAAGTGTGTTAAATTATATGTTTGAATTCAATTCAAACCTGAGATTTTGAAATCAATTTTGCCGCGTCACAAATATTCGAGTGCTACCAAATCAACAAATCGATGAAAATAATCACTAGATTCTCGTGTGGATGTTACTAAACCATTCGTGTGGCCCGGCGTAGGCTTTACGGCGCATCTCTGGTAAGATATCGGCATGTATGGTGCGATAAACAGTAGGTCTGTTCGTTTTTGTTAGCCCGCTACTGGTTTTAGGTTGAAGCGAGACAAGTATATGTTTTCTCACTTCAATTTATTAATCTAGTTCAGTGATGCAGCGAAAACGAACAGACCTATTAGTATTTTGACCTTGTGAGGCATTCATTCCGAGAAATGATCGTCTGGTTATACCGCGAAATAGGATGTGTCACAGATATGAGAAGAAACAAATTCCGTTCGATCCTAACAATTCGGTTGTTCTGCTCTTTGTTAACTTAGAAAAAAGAGAGAGTGTAATGTATAACTCACGCGTTTACTTATGTACGTTTACTATACCGGCATACCGGTGTGGAGACCTGTTGCGAATAGTTTATAGATCGTATGTATATTCACATCATCACATTACAGTAGGAAATCCTTAGAAATATTGAAAAAGGAAAAGATATTTATGTGATAAAGATATTTCATTTAGAGTTTAATTCTTTTTCATATATTTGGGTTACTTTGAAACATTTAACAAGCATTTAAAAAGAATTAACTTACAAATTGCAATGTTTTGCAACGTATTGTGCTCTGTAATTTTCCTTTTTAGTAGAACGCTTCTTTTTTATTTCTAGATCTGCTTACAAGTATTGGCAATATATCTTGAAGAGAAAAAATGGCATATCATAGGGATAAGTTAATGTTCGCACTTTTGAAGGCAGACAAATATTTTGATGTTATGGACAGCTTTCAGAAGCTCAAGACTGATCAGGAGCGTGTGATATTTACTTTTAATATTATATGGGAAAATGGTGTGATTCCTAATGTAATTAATAAGAGAAAGAATGCCAAAGATTCTGAAAGACTGCGGAAAGAAGGCAATAATATATTTGTCAATTGTAATTTGAGTGACAATCCATGCATTAATGCTTTGAATTTCTATACAGGCAGCATATCCTTCGCACCTTATCCATCCTTGCAACTTGCTCTTGCTTTTGGCAATAGGTCGTTTATTTTATATATATTGGATTTATATTCAGAATGTATTCAGGATATCGACAGAGCATTGGCTTTAAATTATCCCAATGACCTGAAAGGAAAACTCTTTATACGCAAAATGCAATGTCTAATCGCATTGGGCAATCCAATTGAGGAAGATATGATTAAGGAGACAGAGCATTGGATAAGTGAGATGACCATGAATCCCAATAAACTAAAAATGCAAGCCAAACTGGATGGATTGCGCAGGAAGATCGAGCAGGGAAATATTCAGAGCAGTCCTGTTAGATCAGAAGAATCAAAAAGTGAAATTCCTCTGCCTGTTATCAAGTCCTGTAATAATGAAATTCCTTGTGCATCAGATGCTATATTCTTGAAATATGACAAGCAGTATGGTAGACATGTTGTCGCTGCTCGTAACATTGATGCAGGTGAACTACTTGTTGTAGAAAAGTCCTACTCGTTGCTGGTGACACAAGAGAAGAGACTGACACATTGTTCAAATTGTCTGAAAGTATGTTGGGCTACTATACCCTGCAAAAATTGCGTTTATACCTTATATTGCTCAGAACAGTGCAGGGACATCGCATGGAAGAAATATCATGATATGGAATGTGATATCTTTACTATTATGTGGCTTTGTGAGTGTTCTGATACTGATTTCCTTAGTTTGAGACTTGCTGTGCAAGCTGTGAAAGAGGCTGGTAATATAAAACGATTGAGAACCATGTTGAAGAAAGTTGATGAATCTGAAGGCACGTAAAATTTATACCTTTTATTATTGTACAGCAGCAAATTACGCTATTCGCGGTAATATTGTTTCAGATCCAAGAACTATGGGTTTCTCCTCAGACGGG